CCACACTTGCCCCCACCCTCATTCGCCCCACTCTGGGCCCATGAGCAAGGCCCTTAACCCCCACCATGTGCTCCCTAAACAGGTCTCTCTTGAAAATGAGTTCTCGTGGCTCAATGAGACTAACCTGGATAAATAAAGGCTAAATGAAAAAAAAAAAAAAAGTTAGCAGAAGAAACAGAAAGAACACATATTTGCTGAATTTGGTTTAAATAAGCAGAAATTAGCCCAAAAATTAGGAAAGCAGCTAAAAAAGGCTGACATCAGCTACAAATTGCTGAAAAGTAGCTGAAAAGGCAGAATAAAGCTTAAACTACCAGAAGAAAGTGGAAGGAGCTGAAATGAGCTAAAAAAAAAGTGGAATTGGCTGAAAAAAGCTAAATTCAGCACAACAGCTAAATGGTAGATGAAATAGCAGAAAAAGCTGAAACCAGCAGAAATAAGCTGAAAGGAGCATAAGATGAAATTAGTAGAAAGAAGTTATTTAGGTGAAAAGTCTCATAGATTACCACATAAAACTTAAATTTATCTGAAAACAGCTGAAATTGGCTAAAACATGCTAAAAAGGTAGCTGTAAATGTAGAACAAGCTTACATTAGCAGAAGGAAGTTAGAACAAGCACAAAAATGTTGTAGTTAGCAGAAAGAATTTGAAAAGAGCACAAAACAGCTGAAATTAGCTGAAAAAAGTTAAAATTTGAAGAAAGAAGCTGAAAGAAGCTGAACCAGAACAAAATGTGAAAGGAGCAGAAAAACGTACAGAATAAAAATGGATCACAACAGAGTGAATGCTTCATAAATATTCACACAATAATCTGTGTGGTTATTAATCTGTTGGCTCCTAATCTGCAACAGATTTTTATTCACATGAATCTAAAACACTTCCCCAGTTTATCCAGCAGTTCATTCAGTTCAACAGCTAATCTTTATGTTTAAACCAAAATAAAAACCGTCAAGTTTATTCAACTGTTGAGTTATTGATTTTTAAGTTAAAGAGTTATTTTTCTTCAACCTCAAGCTGCCTTCCATAACTCCCCCCTGTCAGTTAATCTGCAGATTATTGAACGTTTTAATTTTACTCCATGTAAAATAAAGACGGAGTTCAACAAAGAGTGAAAATCTGGTTTTTATTTCCTCTTACTGCGCGACGACGAGTGAAACGTGAGGTTCTGTTCTGCAGCGGATCGGAGCGCGATGCTGTTTCTGTAAAACCAGAAGCAAAAGGAGGACACGAGGAGGAGGAGGAGGAGGAGGAGGAGGAGGAGATGTTTTCTCTCAGATCATCTGAGTTAAATAAAAGAGGATTAACAGCAGCATGGCCACAGGCCTCCTCCTCCTCCTCCTCCTCCTCCTCCTCCTCGCTGCAGCTCTCCGTCCCGGTGGATTAAATCACCTCTCATCACTCGTCTCCTCTGATTCAGGCCTTTTCTCTGCGTTTAGCAGCTGCACGTCACTTCGTTCACTTCAGCAGCCTGGAAAAACCTGGAACTAGTTTTTGTGGTTCTCCGGGTCTGGATCTGTGGAACCAATAAAACCGAGTGTGTCGTCCGTCTTCAGACTCTCCGCCGTTTTAACGAATCCGACCTGCATAAATATTTTCCTCTCACACCCGGAGTTCTTTAAACAGGAAAGATCAACGCTCTAAAATGAAGCTTTACGCTTAAATGATTAAAACATTGTTACGTTTGGATTGACATGAGCTTCAAAGCTCGTTTAGTTATAATTTATTATAAAAATTAAAGTCCAGCCAAAATCAGCTGTAAAAATAAACATTCTGTCTCTCATCAGGACCATAAATCTGATGTATAAACGTGCCAATTTACCAAAAATATGAACTAAACGTTACAGTGAATGTTTGATTCTTGAGTTTCAAACATGTTTTTAACACGTTTGAATGTGAAACCAGACACCGGGTCGTGTCTCGGAGTGGTTCTGACCCGGTTCTGTGTGTCCCGTGTTGCAGCTCTGTTTAACCTGATCCCAGTGGGTCTGAGGGTCGTGGCCATCCAGGGAGTGAAGGTCGGGCTCTACGTGGCCATGAACGCCGAGGGATTCCTCTACACATCAGTAAGAACCTCAGTCCAGACACCGGAGCGGTTCTGAAGGTTCAAGCTAACTGGAAGTCTTTTTATTTAACAGACGCTTTAATTTTCATAAGACTGACATCTGGGACGTCTTTTAAAAAAAACACAACAAGACCTTTAATTTGTAGTTCCTGCACTTTCAACAGAATCAAGAAGAAATGTTCAAGAAGCAAAGAAACATTGTTGGAGAATGGGTCAGAAACCAAAGGCTCCTCTGGTCCTGAGGAGGAAAACTGCACGTTAAAAACTACATTTTTAGATTTAAACTCATCGTAGCTCCAAATCATACTATTCATTTCCATGTCAGAGTTTAAAAAATGGTTAAAAAGCTAAAAGTTTCACATCACTCATGACATGGGGGGGATCTTAAACTTGTCCAGAAACAAAATGGCCGCCCAGTCAGAAAGTAGTGGGAGTGAAGTGTCCAGTTAGGATGTGACATCTGTCAATCAAATCACACATCGGACGGATAAAAGAGTCTGTTGTTTGTTTGAAGCAATAAAACTTGTAGCTAAAGATAAAATAATCAACAGCAATTGAGTTTACAGCCAGGAGACTTCAGCTACTGACGCCAGCTACAGACTTCAGCTACTGACATCAGCTACAGACTTTAGCTGCTGACACCAGCTACTGACACCAGTTACA